ACGCATTAAAATTCAGGGGAACGGTAGCACGGGTCATTGATCTACAACATAGATATGCAAAAACTATTAAGACTAAGTTCATGATAACTAAGTTCAGTTAATCAAATTACTAATGAACTCCCACTTAAAATAACATCCCTCGAGTTATCTAAGTGACACATGATCCAAATCAACTAACCCATGTCCGATCATCACGTGAGATGGGGTAGTCATCAATGGGGAACATCTCTATGTTGATCATATCTACTATATGACTCACGTTCGACCTTTTGGTCTCTAGTGTTCCGAGACCATGTTTGTACATGCTAGGCTCGTCAAGTTTAACCCAAGTATTCTCCATGTGCAAAACTGTCTTACACTCATTGTATATGAACGTAGAGTCTGTCACACCCGATCATCATGAGGTGCTTTGAAATGACGAACTTTGGCAACGGTCCATACTCAGGGAGAACATTTTTATCTTGAAATTAAGTGAAGGGGTCATCTTATAATGCTACCATTGTTCTAAGCAAAATAAGATCCATAAAGGATAAACATCACATGCAATCAAAATATGTGACATGATATGGCCATCATCGCCTTGTGCTTTTGATCTCCATCTCCAAAGCATCGTCATGATCTCCATCGTCATTGGCTGGACACCTTGACCTCCATCGTTGCGTCGGGGTCGTCTCGCCAACTATTGTTAACCAATAGCGATAAAGTAAAGCAATTACATGGCTCTTGCATTTCATACAATAATTAAGAGACAACCCTAAGGCTCCTGCCTGCTGTCGATATTACAAAACATGATCATCCCATACAACAACGTTACCACATCATGTTTTGACCATATCACATCACAACATACCCTGCAAAAACAAGTTAGACGTCCTCTACTTTGTTGTTGCAAGTTTTACGTGGCTGCTACGGGAAACTAGCAAGAACTGTTCTTGCCTACGCAAAACCACAATGGTGATTGGCAAGTTTGTTGTTTTAACCTTCTTCAAGGACTGGTCGTAGTCAAATTCGATTCAACTAAAGTAGGAGAAACATACACCCGCCAGCCACCTTTATGCAAAACAAGTTGCATGTCAGTCGGTGGAACCGGTCTCATGTGCGTGGACATGTAAGGTTGGTCCGGGCCGCTTCATCCTACAATACCGCTGAATCAAAATAAGACGTTGGTGGTAAGCAGTATGACCACCACCGCCCACAACTCCTTTGTGTTCTACTCATGCATATCATCTACGCATAGACTTGGCTCTGATGCCACCGTTGGGGAACGTTGCATGGAAAACAAAAAAACCACGCACACGCAAGATCTATCCATGGAGATGCATAGCTACGAGAGGGGAGAGTATGTCTACGTACCCTCATAGACCGTTAAGCAGAAGCATTTATCAACGTGGTTGATGTGGTCGTAAACCTTCACGGTCCGCCCGATCAAGTACCAAACGTACGACACCTCCGCGTTCAGCACATGTTCAGCTTGATGACATCCTCGTCTTCTTGATCCAGCAAGATGAGCGAAGTAGTATTCGAGGATTGCTACTTCATGGCATGCGATTTTCCGTTGACTAGATTTGAACATTGTAATAGGGTAGCTAATAAGGTTGCTCATGAACTTGCTAGGCTAGCGAAAGTTTCCGTAACTAGAGATTGGTTTGAGGAGCCTATGGAGAATATTCTACCTTTTCTTATAGACGATGTAACTATCATTTCCAATTAATAAAGTGGATGTTTTCTTTCAAAAAAAAAGATGAGCGAAGTAGTAGATGAGTTCCGACAGCACGATGGTGTGGTAATGGTGGTGATGCAATTATCTCCGCAGGGCTTCGCCGAGCACTACGAAAATATGACAGAGGATGAACTAGAGGGAGAGGGGCGGCGCACACGGCTAGGGAATCATGGTGCGTGTTGCCCCTCTCCCTCCACACACATATATAGGTGGGGGAGGAGGGGAGGCAGCTAGGGTTCCCCCAAGGGGCCGGCGGCCACCTTGGG